TAAACAATTTTAATTCATGAACAAAGTTTTTATTTCGTGAATATTTGAAAACACATATTTAAAAAAAATCATGAATATCCACCGTGAACATAGTTTAAACCCTAGATTATTTTTCAAGGTCATGAGCATTTTTTAAAACCACAAAAATCGGTGGCTTTTTTTTTCCTGAGCTACGAGCAAAGCCGAGCCGACTGAGTGAGCCAGCCAACCAGTCAAGCAACCGAGAGAGCAAGCGAGTGAGCGGATGCTTCCTGGGTCGTGGTCCATGCATGTGTCTTAGAGGCAATTCGCCTAGAGTGGGAAATCAGAGCAAACCCTAGCCTTGCATTATGATAAGGTTAAAGTTTACATGATTCCCTTGCCGATGCGATCTAGACTAATCCTAAAGATACTCTAGATCATCGGGCATGCTAGTTTTGTACATCAATTTGATGATGCACCCCGGTGTACAATGTTGGCTAGGTCATGGACTGGTACCCTTCTGGCTTGATGGGCCGACTTCCGGCTGATGGTATACCCCATGGGCATGATGACATCATCACACATCACTCTTTCAGAAGAGGAATCTTTGGCCAGGGTTTCTCATATCTCCTATCGGTGCCGCAGCCGGTCTACCTCGTCTCTTGTGGTCTTAGGGTCATGGAGGCGTGGTGGATCCAAACCCATGCCGGTGGGAGGGCTTCGTTTTTTCATGCTCTTTTGAGTTTTGTTAGGATTTATGTCCTGTTCAAAGAGGCGAGACGGTGTCGGCTCTCTAGAGATGGAGTGAGGTTCTCCCCGCCTAGCCCTGTCCCGGTGGTGTTTCTAGCATCGTCGGAGGACGTGTGGAGGTCTGTCTCTGGCGGATCTCGCGGGATTCGGTCGGTGTTCGACAGATCCTTGTCTTCATTCGTATACATTGGTGTGTCTTCAAATTGGATCCTTTCAATCTACGTTTTTCTTCATCAGCGATGGTTGTTGTTCTAGTGCGCTGGTCTTATGAGGCCTTAGCACGACGACTTCCCTAATTTCTACTACAACAAGGTTTGCCCTACTCCGATAAGGAGGGGTGAAGATGGCAGCCCTCGCTACAGTGCTAATAGTCGTGTTAGGTGGTCTAAGGATTTAGATCTATTGTTTACTTCTGGTGTTGTTTGTACTACCTTAACAGTAGATGAATATATAGAAATTATCCTCCTAAAAAGCACACACACATACACATATACACAAGCGGGCGGGCAGACAAGCACCCACGTACAACCACAGTCACACACAGAAAGGAAAACAGACATAGACATGATAGAATATTGAACAAATGGGGGAGAAGTGACTGGGCTGACCTTTTTTTTAGTCGTTCAGACGACTGATAGAATAGAAAAGGTGATTCTCAAAAAAAAAATGTGGCACATTATTTATTTATAAATCTGTCTGTTTTGAGGAAGTTGAGACACGTTTGCATGAGCCGGAAGTAAATCAATCCTCAAGGTTGACCCCCAACTTATATATGGAGTTAAAGCTCCATCGTCCTTGGTGCTGATGATGAGCTCCGATCATGTCCTAACCCACGCAAATTTTCCACAAGACTTTGGCAGGCCGGGTCAGAAGTTTCAGCAGCGTCAAATGGAATTGACCCGAGCCGCACAAATTCAGCGACACACTCTTTGGCGTCGAGGCCAGATTCCAGAATAGTTTTGAGGAAGAACCGGCGATCATTGAATGATTGAATCCTAAAAGTGGGAGGATTGTCAAAAAATACTGCGGGCAGCTTGCAGCCTCACGCCTCCGGATCCGATCGCGGCCTCGGTCCACCGCGAGAGCTAGACGTAGCCGTGCACGTGGCGTTCCATGTGGCCAACAGGCCATGCGCCTGTGCAGCCGAATCGATCACTGTTGCATAGGGCAGGGGAGGTTCAAATTATTGTGAGTCATTCGAGTAAGCGAAACATTGCGTGGGGGCATCATCAACGCTTCCCTAAATCGGACATTGTATGCGTCCGCGGATTGATGGGGCCATCCACGATCAGTGATGCAAAAGTCGACCATCCAAAGTTGTTCTCTAAACTTCCGCCTCTTTTCTTAAGTCCACAAGCTCAAAATAGCTGTGTATCAAATTATAAATAACTGAAAAATGTTCAAATACGGCAGTAGTTTTAATTTAAATATTACAATGCAATAAAGTTTTCAAGTTAAAGTAGTTTAAACTTCAAATCAACTAGCACATATGTTCTAGTTGTCCCCTGTAACCGCTCATAGATGCTCAATCAAATCATCCTTGAGTTGCTCGATGCCTAATTTGTTTATACATTTGAACAAACCCATCAAACGTGACCGGGTTCTAAGTTGGAAGATCGGTAGGATCACCCATGTTCTCATACTCAAAAGCCGCGACGACATCTTCACGCTCATTCTCGACGATCATGCTATGCATGATCACAGAACACATCATCACCTCCTACAAGGTCTCGAAACCCTATTTTCAGTAGGCCCACGAACAACTGCAAAACAGGCCTAGGGCACTCCAAATGCTCTCTCAACATCCTTTCTAGATGGTTCTTATCTTTGGGCAAAGTGAGACCTTTTTTTTGACCAACTGACTCAAAGATGGTCTTGATAAAGGTAGCCCACGGAGAATAGATACCGTCAACCAGATAGTAACTAATATTGTATGCATGCCCATTGACAGTAGCAAACAATGTATACTGCTGCAACACATTGATGTCATTGTGAGACATGGGGATGCGAAAGAAAACATGCCAAATCCAGAGATCATATGATGCAACGGCTTCAAGAATGATGGTGGACAGTTCTTCCATCTTCAATGTATGCAGTCAAGAGATCCAAGAAAACCTGTCGATGCTCTTGCTTCAAACATTACGCCTCTCGGTGTCTGCGGCAGTTGGTTCTCTCAAGTATTGGGGTCCTAACATCTCGACCACGGCAGTAGCAAATCTGACCATGGCGTCTCCGCATGTACTCAGAAATCCCGAGGTATTCGTCCCACCAATCTGCGGCTGTACCATATGCAAGCATCCGTAATCCAATCGTGCACTTCTGCTAACCAGATAATCCAATCCTTCCTACTGCATGCTTCTTCAAAATGAAGTAGTCACCGAAGGAGCGGACACAATGATAGATGCAATAGAAGAACTTTTTCGCATCTAAAAGCGCCAACGAAAATTGTCATCAAATAGGGCATTGGGAGCAAAGTAGTCGTCCATCAATGTCAAATGGCCTCGTGCCCTGTTCCGATCAAGCACTTGATGACTCCTTGGAATTGAGAACCTGCCCTTCCGGTCGCTGCGCGTCAGTAAGGACCGCCTGCATCATCGCCATTTCATCCGTGTAGTCCTGAGAACTCAATGTAGTGCTCGTATATGTATTTCATGTCTGAACCCTATTGTTTCAATGAAGGGACAAAAAGAGTTTAGAACATACATTTCTTCAAACACTTGTTGGGCATGGTCAGTGCCGTAGGGGCGGATTGTACCTGCGTGGTGGATGAACGAGAGGTGTGGACCGGCAGTGGAGGACAAGCGGCGTGGAGGCCGGGTGTAGCGGTAGGGGTCGCGGAGTTTCGGGAAGGGCTTGGCGGGCGGGCGGTCGGGATGGTAGAGCGGCGCAGTCGACGAGAGAGGAAGCGGATGCTGAGAAAGAGGAAAGTATGAAGGCGCGAGGTCCAGACGGGGTTTTCGTGTCGTAGTCTTATATGCCTCGTGTCCGAACTCCTGCAAAGCCCCTGATTTATTTCCAGTTTGTGGAGAAACGGACAGCCCAGTGGCGCAGTTGTATGGTAAATTGTGTCCCGATAACTAAGTCCGGACAGTTCGCGGCGAGTTTAAGGGGTCCCTTTGGAGATGCCCCAGCTCCAATCTCACAGGAACGTTGTTGAAATGTTTGTGTGTCGTGGCGGTGGTTCACGAGGGAACATGAACATGAACACACGCCACCTGGCATTGCATTTGCCTGTTGAATAATACTCCTAATTAAGAAAGAATTTTCCATGATTGGCCGTGTGATCGATCTGCGGTTGGCGCAGCCTTGCTTGCTTGTATTCAGTCGGCGAGTGGAATTTATTCGGTTTATGTTGACTAGTTGGCCGGACTACCCTGCCGCCGGTCAAGTTGAACAAGTCAGTCGTCAACAGCAACAGCGACACCGGCCGCAGCAGCAGGTGTCTTCTTCCCCTTATCCGTCCCTTTCCCCCCTCCAACCCCCACCCCACCCCTCCCCTAGATCCTCAAACGCTACAAGTAACACGGACACACGCGCGCACGGGCCGAGGAACCGTAAAAGCCACGACTTCTTCTTCGTCCACCTTCATCTCCCTCTCTCCCCCGCAGGCCGGTCACCACAACCAACCCCCATCCCCTGCTTGCTGCTTCACCCCGTTGGATCATCAGCCGCGCTGCCCGGCGCCCGAGGTAATTGACAACACTTCGTTGATTACTTGGTTGATCTTGCTCCGGCAACCTGATTCCGCTCCAGCTTTGGTTTGATTTGACATGGTGTGAGGGAGTGAAAGTGAACCCCCTGCCAGTAGCTAGCTGCCGCTGCTCTGCTCTGTTTTTTGGTAGTTGCTCTGCTCTCCTCCGCTTCTTCTGCTAGGAGGAAGGGAGGAAATCTCTTTCTTCCTCCTACGGTACACTGCTCCACTGTTCAATCCGATTTGCAATTGCGTGTGTCTGAACCTACCAATCATACAAACAGTAACATGTTTTTTTGAGATTCATTCACCGCGTACAGAATCGATGAGACATTTGGCTTCCTTGCCCGCTCGCTTTGCTTGCGTTCATCTTCATCCACCATGTGATGTGCCTCACCCTCTACCGCTCTGCTTCTAGATCGCGCAACAATATAATACTACCTGCTTGATGGTGTTTGTTGGAGTAATAAACCTTGACTTGGCGCCTGGCGGCTAATCCCACGCACTCACACTGTCCACATACTGATCCATAAGCTTCCTTAATCTATCATCAAGTAAACAAATCGATTAGTGCTTCCACCGCAGCGGCGCGGCGACGATGTGGTGGCTGCCGCCTTGCTTCCACGGCGGCGGCGCGGCCAAGGGAGAAGGCAGAGACCACTTCGACCCCGTCCCCGTGTCCCCGGCCGGGGCCTCGGCGCGGTCCATGAGCACGGCCACGTCGTCCACCATCACCGCCCCGTCCGGCTCCGACCTCACCGGCTCCATCAACGCCTCCGACCTGAGCGCCGACTCCATCCAGCGCCCGCAGCAGTACCCGAGCTTCGCCGACAGGCCCGCCAACCTCCGGGTCTTCACCTACGCCGAGCTGCGGGCCGCCACCCGCAACCTCAGCCGCTCGCTCATGCTCGGCGAGGGCGGCTTCGGCTGCGTCTACCGGGGCGCCATCAAGGTCGACGCCGGCGCCGGAGACGAGACGCCTCCCCCGATGGAGGTCGCCGTCAAGCACCTCAACCGGAACGGGCTTCAGGCAAGATACTGCATACAGATATATACTCCACCAACCACATATTCACATTGCTCTCTGGTGGCTCTGTCGGCCAGTAAAATTAATGGCGAATTTGATGATCTTGATCAGGGGCACAAGGAGTGGCTGACGGAGGTGAACGTCCTGGGCATCGTGGACCATCCCAATCTGGTGAAGCTGGTGGGCTACTGCGCCGACGACGACGAGCGAGGGGCGCAGAGGCTTCTGGTGTACGAGTACATGCCGAACCGGAGCGTGGACGATCACCTGTCGGGCAGAGCGATCGGGACGACCCTGTCGTGGCCTATGCGGCTCAGGGTGGCTCTCGACGCCGCCAAGGGGCTCAAGTACCTGCACGAAGACATGGATTTCCAGGTACTTCTTCTTCTGGGCTTGGATTGAAGCCTGAAACATTTGAATGAATTGTACTGAAGATCGATCTGCAGGAAGAAATGAACTGAATTTGTAACATTTCGTTGCTCAGATAATTTTCCGGGACCTGAAGACGTCAAACATTCTGCTGGATGAAGACTGGAACGCCAAGCTGTCAGACTTCGGCATGGCTAGGGAAGGCCCGACGGAGGGCCTCACGCACGTCTCCACAGCGGTAAGAAAATGAAGATTGTGCATTCAGAATCAGATACACTATGTTTTGTGGATGAAAATTAATTCAGATACAGGTCAGAAGTACGTACGAAGTGGATTATGACATGTATGATGATATTGATGTATCTACAGGTGGTTGGCACCCTGGGGTACGCGGCACCGGAGTACATCCAGACGGGGCGGCTGAACGCCAAGAGCGACATCTGGAGCTACGGGGTGCTGCTCTACGAGCTCATCACGGGGCGCCGGCCCATCGACGGGGAGCGGCCGAGGGGCGAGCAGAAGCTGCTGGACTGGGTGAAGCCCTACATCTCCGACACCAACAGGCTGAGGCTGATCGTGGACCCCAAGCTGGAGGGGCGGTACAGCATCAAGTCGGTGGCCAAGCTGGTCACCGTGGCCAACCGCTGCCTTGCCAGGCTGCCCAAGGCGCGCCCCAGGATGGGGGAGGTGCTGGACATGGTGCAGAAGGCCGTCGACGTCGACGGCGTCGGCGCCGGCGCCGGCGCTCCTCCGCTGCACCACTACAGCAACGGCGGCAGCAGGGAGGAGGGAGGCAGCTCCAAGCTGAAGCAGGAGGGCAAGAAAGGGTTTCATGGTCAGTGGCGAGGTGGAAGAGGGAAAGGGCCCCTCATGTGCTGATGCTGAAGCTAGCTTAATCCAGGTGATTGATTAGATTTTTCCAGGATCCTAATTAATCCTAGTATGGCACTATGTGAGTTCGTGTTGTCATCTTGAGTGATCCAATTGTGTGTGGATATGATATGACTATAGAGTATCATTAGGTGGATGAATCAGTGATTATCCTGTCAAGCATCATTATTATTAGAAAAACAATCTCAGCCTCCTAGTTTCCTTTTTGCTGTAAAATTGAGCATATATCTCTTTGTTCTTTCACCACTTTTGCAGCAGTGTCATTTTAAGATTGGAAAATTGGAATACTTGTTTCATTCGTTATGACTACTAGGATGCAAGGTACTTGTTGGGGGAACCCCTCTCCATGGATCAAAAGGAAGAAGATATTTAGGGCCTATTTGATTCACAAGATTCTATAAACGTGGGAATAAGATAAACATATGATTAAAATTTCATGCTCATCTCAATCCTATAGGATTTTGCTGTGTTTGATTGTATCATAAGAAAACAAAGAATTCTTTCAAAGAGATTTTAGTGGATGCTAGAAATCCAATGAGAAGTAGTACAAAGAAATAATCAGGAGAACATTCTACAGCATTCTTTTTTTCGAACCATGCAGGAGAACTGCATGTGACAATATAGAAGAAAAGAGATACAAAGTCTTAAAGTACAAAACGACCCAACAACAACAAAAAGGCAAAAAATAAATAAATAAGGAGAACAATGACCTCAGTCATTTAGCGCCTGCTTTAGAAGATTCTACAACATTCATTCTCATGAATCAAACAACCAATGTAGGAAAAATACCTAAGTATTCTAATTCTCCAAAATACGTATGAAAATCCTTTGAATCAATAAGGCCCTTATTGCGGACTGCATTTGGAGCCTTTTATATTAAACCTTTGTGCTAAGGACTTGTGAGATGCCTTACATAATAAAATGCATATACAACACAAATTTTTCACACGATGCAATACTTTTTTATTTGATCCAAAATAGCGGTGTAAACTATAGATTCTAGCCCCCTTTTGCCAGCCTTGCTACTATGAGGAATTGCTCTCATATTCTTATGGGAAATTAGTTTTTTAACTCAACCATCACTAGTGAGGTAACCTTTGCGCGTCATACTAATGTGATTTGCCTCGCAGGCCTCTCTTGCCATCCTAGTGTTGCCTCTTACTCTTTCTATTCTCTTTCTCTCTCCCTTTTCACCTCTTTCTCATATTGCACAAACATATCTACCAACTCATCCACCATGAAGACACACTCTCCCTTTCAATTCATCCACGGTGACATTCTCATTTGTTGTTGCTCCTTTCTGGAATTGCCCTGCCTAGATCCAACTCATAGGAGCGCATTTTCAATGGCTTAGTCGTGCGGCGTTGAGCTCGAGGTCGAAAGGATGTGCTCCAGGATGCCAAGCTCGAGAAGATGTTGGAGAGAGAGGAATGTGTCCTGGGTCGCCCGACCTGGCTCTGGTGGGGCTCTGACAAGCCCACATTGAAGTCAATGTTGATCACAAGAGATTACTGAATTTGAAAATATTTTATGTCTCGAACATTGTTTCGTATGCTAGAAGCATGTATATTTATTTGTTTTGTACACAAGCAGGTTTGTTGCAGTCATTCACGATTAAGGGTGCTACGTACAAGGGTTTGTTTTCATGTTACAAAGCTCTTTTGCATCTCTTTCAAATTGTGTTTTTCTGATGATCTAATGCAATTTTAGTTTATCCTATTTTGTTTTTCTTTGGCTACAACCCATTCCCAGACGTTCATAGTAATTTAAGATTTTTTTATATAAATCTTTTGTTGGATTTCTGTCATAAGATGTTACAATTTTTAACACGAGATACTACTGAAGATACTATATACAACACAATAATATTGTGTGGTGGATTCTCATATTGCAATCATGGGTTCAGATTTGTCATTGGATTGAACTAATCGAAGACGCCTTATATGGCCTAACTTTTTATTTGCACAACCCTACTTTGCCTATGCTACTAACCGTACATTAGGTCTAAACCCAACGAGTTAGGCCCATGGTCGGATTGCAACCGAAGCCGCACCAATACTTGGAAATTAACACCTCGATTTGTGGTTGAGTCTGGCTCATCCAAATGCACTTCCCAAACTCCAATTTCTGAACACTCTACTTTATCAGTATCCAGTTCACATCTCTGCTTTCTACTGCGTGTCGTATTCGTGCTACGTTCTTTTCAACACTTCTGTCTCTCTTGTCCATTCCCCTCACTCCTTCATGAGATGCTCATGAAATGGTGGGTTTTCCTGCCCAAAATTCCCACTTTCACCCTTCGTGTTCACGCGCGTTGTCTCACACCGCGAGTATATAGCAAAAAAACTACCACATTACAGGCTATTGTTACAAAAAACTATCACTTTTCTTAAATTTTCAAAAATCTACCACAAAATTGGTTGGCTGTTCCAAAAAAAACCAAATGACCAAGTTGTTTAAAATTGATTCGGATTATGAGAGCCGGGGTCCACTTGTCAGGTTGATCGTTAGCTTTAACCGTTGACAGGTTATGAAAAATAGACCCCACATATTTATAAACGGTAAACAGGTCCCTACATGAAAAATAAAAGCAATCGGATCCCTGTGCTTTTTAAAAAAACAACAATCGGGTCCCTGCAACTTTTTAAAAAAAGCAATCAAGTCCCCGCCGGTGAGCTCGTCGCCGGAGTTGGCGAAGGGACCCGTGCGCGTCGGTCGTCCTTGCTCTGGCGGCGGAGCTCGAGAGCATGCCGGCTGCTACACGCGGCCCAACAGCTGCTCCTGGAAATGGCGGCGGTTGCTCTCGCTGTTGGGCGGGGCGCCCCCAAGCTCTTGGACCATGGCCGAAGCGCAGCGGTGGCCTGAGCTCCTCGGAATGGCCGGCGGGCGGCTGCCTGAGCTCCTAGGCGTGGCAGTGGTGCTATTGATCTTGTGGGCATGGTCGACGACATCTTTCAGGGAGGGGGTCGAGGGAGCACCGGAGATGGTCTGGCAGCGGCGTTGGCTCGTGTGCCCTGGTCGTCGGCCATGGTGGCTTCTGGCGGCAGCGCCCCAGTCCGGTGCCCTGCACCAGCGAACTCGGGAGAGGGAGAGGAAAGGTCAAGCGCGGGGGAGTTGACCCAGATGTGTGGTTTTCTCTCGTTTTTTAATGGGCTGGGCTGATGACATGTGGGCCTTAACAGTCAGTGCTATTGGTCTTAACGGTCAAAAGTTATAAGTGGGCCCCACCCTATCATAAACCTGGTTAACATTGAACACTTCAGCCATTTGGGTTTTTTGGAATAGCCCACCCATTTTGTGTTAGGTTTTTGAAAAATTAAAAAATGGTAGTTTTTTATAGCCATGACCTGTAATGTGGTAGTTTTTTGCTATATACTCCTCACACCGCACACACACGTTTTTTAGCAGTTGGGTTTAAATTTTCCACCCAAGGGCTATATTTGAGATGACTGAATCGGGCAGCGATTCAGACGTATGTTGGATGACCAGTTGTCTTTCTTCTCTCCAATCTCACAGGCATGTGCATGTATTCACTCTCGTGCTGTTAAGGGGCAACTCAGGCTATGTCAGCTGAGACACTTTCTAGTTGGAGCCAATATAAAATACATTTATACTAAAATGTTATACTTGTTTATAGTTGCTTTTATCAAGGATTTAACTAGTGTATTTTCTTGGGCAATTGAATGTCGTGTTTTTTGTTAACAGTTTTATGTCTATCATGTGAGGTTGTTTTTCAAGAATCACCCCTTAAATATTTTCTAATGTGAATACCATTACATGAAAACAAATGAACAAAAACACATGCCTATACAAATTAGTTTGTGGTAGTTGCATTAATGTGTGTGTGTGTGAGAGAGAGAGAGAGAGTGTGTGTGTGCTTTCATAGTTTTAGAGATATCTCAAACACACTATCTAGTAAATATCTGTCTTTTAGAAAAGAAGGATTACCCCCACTTCTGCATCAGAAAGATGCAGCCCCTTTACTAAGCAAAGTAACCGAAGTGTCTGTGGTCCAGAACAAGCTCGCTCAGAGCTCAAAAAGTAATCAAAAAAGGAAAAAGTTGCCACAACCGGCGAAAATTGGACAAGATGACTAAACACCTATTCTATTACTGGACTCCCATCCAAACTGGTTACAGATATCCCGAGCTACCATCTCCCATCGGGTAGACCCAGTAACCAAAGGCTCCCTGGTTTCCCCAGGAGCGAGTCACGACCATGTATGAATCCAAGTAGTGGCTGTGTAGAGAACCTGAAAAATTATACGGATTTGTCTGTTAAAAAACATATCATTTCTACCTTTTCCCCGCAAAAAAAAACATATCATTTCTATAATTTCATATAGCCCAAAGTAATGCACATACTCCTATCTGAATATGTCTCGCAATATTTGTCTCTACTTCATCTAGTCACGTCCCAAATAACGCGTGGATAATATTAGAGGGGTGATATTAAAGGCTATATGAATTGCACGCCATAGTAGTTTGTCCAACGGATAATCGAGAAAGAGGTGTTTGATAGTTTCATCTTGATCACAAAAGCTACATCTTTGACTACCCTCACAACTACGTTTTGCCAAGTTATCCTTAGTCAGAACCACGTCCTTTTGCAAAAAAAGCACATGAAGATTTTAATTCTTAACGACACTTTGATCTTCCAAATATGTACTGATTTCAGCATCGGACCAGAGTTAATTAGGTCTATATACACAGATTTCACTAAGAAGATGACATTCATAGTTAATCTCCAGTGAATACTATCAGGCTCATCAGAGAGGTTGACCTCCATCAACTTTCTGACCAGGTGTAGCCATGCTTCCTACCGGTCTCCTACCAAAAATCTCTAGAATTGAATATTTAAAGGATTGGATTGTAATACCGCAGCAGCATAAGCCTCCTTATGCTGTAAGATGTTATAGAGAGACATATATTGCATTGCTACATACGTCTCCCCTAACCACGTATCCTCCTAGAATCTAGTCGAATTTACCGTTTTCCAATGATGAATTTAGTTCTATGGAAGAAAGCTGCTTTTGTTCTCATCAATTCCTTCTAGAAAGGACAATCATTGGGTCTAATAGTAACATCACTACTGGGAAAACCCTATAGGAGAACTAAAAATAGTGGTGGGTAGGACCTGTCACCCACCTTGCTACTTTTCCAAAAGAGCAGTGGCGGGTGACAGGACATGCCCATCGCAGTTACGGGCATACCTGTGGCGGGCGCTGGCCAGCAACTGTCACAGCTAGGCTCTTCCAAATATTCCCACTGGCTGAAAATTGTAGTGACGAGCCCCGGCGAAGAGCCTGCCACTGGCGTGTGGTTAAGCAGTGGTTGGCGCCTCTAGGCGTCCGCCACAACTGTATTTTGGCAACCGCGCCAACTAAATCAAATTTTGGATAAGTTTGGTGTGGCGGGTGCTCATTGTTGCCCGCCACTTCTCTTGCGTCGACACACAAACATTCATATCCAGCGTTTTGTCTTTCTTTCTACCATTTCCTTTCCCTCGTCCCCTTCCTCGCCGTCCTGCGCCTCGACTGCCGCCACCGTCCCTTCGACCAGCCGGCGACGCTTTCCACGCGTTCAATGCCGTGAGCGCCGCCGGATCTGCTCGCCCTTACGTCGTTTGCCTCGACCGTCGATGCGCCGTTCTCCGCCTCGACCGCGCGTAGCCCCCGTCCTTTGCCTGAACCGCCGTCGTCGTCGTCCGCTTGGACCGCAACCTCGACCGCAGTCACGTCCGCGGCCGGAAAAGCGGCCAACAATATATTCAATCTCCATGACTAAATTATGCTCTAGGGTTTAGAATTTACATCTTATGAATTTGTAGATTAACTAGTTGTACATCTTATGTTTATTGCCACTAAAAAAATGTTCATCGTGTATTGAAAAATGTTAGTCATGTATTAGAATAATGTTAATCATGTTTTTGGAAAATAGTAATCATGTATTAAAAATGTATTAGATATATACCAAAAATCTATAATGGGCATGCAAAAAATTACTCTTAAAAATATAAGCTTTCAAAGCATGATAATCATGTATTTAAAACTGTTAAACATGTATATAGAATGTGCTTATGATGTATAAAAAAATGTTGAACGTGTACTGAAAAAGTTAACATGTGTTGAACAAAAAATAAATCGATGAAAATCAACAAAAATCCGAGAAAAACGACTAATACAATAAAATAAAAAAATAAAAAAAATGAAAACAAATGCAAAGAAAGAATAAAGGAAACAAGGAAAAACAAAGAAAACAGATGAAACCTAGAAAACGAAGAATGAAGAAAGAAAGAAAGAAAATTAAACAGTAAAAAACCGAGAAAGAACCACAGACAAAAAGGAAAATCCAGTGAAGACAGTTAAAAAGGAAGAAAACCGGAAATAAAAAGCAAAAAATCAGAGCAGAGAGAACAGTGACACGAGTGAACTGAGCGAACAGTGCGAGAGGCACTATCTGCGCTAAAGGACCGGCCCATATATGCTCCCTGTTCGCACCCTTCTGGCCCACCGTTCCGGCCGGCAAAAAGAAAAAGAGAAAAAAAAAAACTAAAATCCCATCCCCTCCTCGCCCTCCTTCCATTCCCCCCTCGCCGCCCCTTCTTGCCCTTTGCCCTCCCCTCGCCTCCTCCACCGGCGGAATTAATCCGACACGAGCGAACCCTCAAACACCTCGCCGTCAAACCCTCAACCATGGGACCGCATCCAGCCACCGTCCCCTGCTCCCTCCGGTGCGGCGCCGCCGCCGCCGCCGTCCGGCGATCCGGGTGGGCGCGCAGCGCCGGTTTCCTCGTCCGCGACGGCGGCCGTAGCAACGGAACCGGCGTGAAGCTGTCCTGCGTCGGCCCTACTGCCTGGAGCTACCCCCACAACTTCGACTCAGACTCGGAACCCATGCCGCCTGGCCGTTGGTGGGGGGAGGCGCTGCTCGAAGAAGACGCCGAGTTTTTTCCTCTTGCCGATTTCATCCCAGTCGGACAGGGCAGGAAGGAGCTGGATGCGATATGGCACGCCCTCGTCGCCGGCCCCCTCGAGTCCGTCCAGCTGACCCTGCGTGAGATCCTGGCCGCCGGCAACCTGTTCCGCTGCCGCAGCTTCCACCTCGGCACCCTCTCAGGTATAAAATGGGAGGAAAATGTAGGATCGAGAATGTTATTTACCAGCAATGAATGTTATCACAGTGTTGCTTCTTCTAGTATGTTTTAGTCTACACCACACTCCTGCATTCAGGAAATTGTATGCTCTGCTTGATTTGTGTGTGTAGTATGAACTGATAATGCAACATCAGTAGATGCGTTGAAATAATATGGCCTATGAGTTGCTCAAGGTGTTGCTGTCCGTCCATGCAGGTGCTTTGCTGGTCGTTGCTGGGGTTTTCCAACTCTGCAAAACGTCACCCACCCTTTTCGTGGACATTGTTCTTGGATCTGTGTTCTACAAGCTAAGCGTTTTATCCGGACAGTTGCAAAGGGAGGGCAAGTCATTTAGCATATGTGCACGGATACAGCTAGGTGAGTTAAAGGCTTCGGTTTTTACAATACCATTTTTCTTTTTGTGAGCTACTATTATTTCATCAGATATGCACTAACTAGCTAGCAATGGATAAAATGCATGGTTTGGCTATGTATTTAATTTGTAGTCAGTTTTCTGTGCTTGTTTTGCATTTATGCTGATATGATATTTTTACTTGTTTCTTTTCACTGCAGTCCTTCTGCTTATTTTGTCTTTCAAGGATAACGGTGCTTCTCAGGTATGATATTTCCACCTAAAATATGGCTTGACACACTTCAGATACTCTTGAGGAAGTTTGTGCAGTTATATGCTTCAGTAATTAATGTTTGTATGTTTTTCTTTTCTGATGATAGGGCTTCTACCGCTTTCTTGTGGAATCAATCTGGTAAGTATGTAAGACTTTGATTATCTAGAGAAAATTATCAATTTCTTGATGCTTCATATTTGAGTCGTGATTCTTAATATGCTTCCCAATTGATGCATGATTGGTATACCTCTGATTCATTAATCAATGCCTTTTCTCCTGTTCTGTAATATAATTAATCAATTGCATTGAAATTGTAACAAGCTGCATGCACATTTTATCGTCTTAAGTTTCATACTTTTCTTGAGGCCAATCTGAAAAACAGTGTAGTGTTGCAAACCTGTGACATTGACCATCGAAGATACATATACGTTCGAAAACAAGTGGTGTATTTAGAGAATAAATTGAGCTTGAGACAATGGATAAGTGATAGCTACCACCCAAAGCGAAATATGAAGGCTGTTTCAAATGAGGACCTTCGCGAGTCTGAACATTTTTTTTCACGAGGAACCATAGTGTACAAATGTACAGATTACGAAGGTCTGATCTGAGACGGTACCCATCTAATACATTCCAATATTTCTTATGGACTTCAGTTCTACAGTACCTTCTTTACCACTTTTGACTTGGATGGAGGAGGCGTGGGTGTTAAAATTCATGCCTAGAAATTTAGTGTATGCTAGGTAGGTAGAATGCATTTGGAACATCCTGTAGATCACACCAGTTGTTGCTTCTTTCCAATGAACTGGTCTTTTGCTGAATCCAGGCATGTGGAGAATAAATCGAGTTTTAGTCTTTTAGACAATGTCTAAGTGATAGCTAACCCCCAACACAAATATGAAGGGGTTTTCATATGAGAGCCTTCGCGAGTCTGCTCACATAATAAATTTCCATAAGGAATCATGATACTGGTACTTGTTAGTTCATGTACGCATAACAAATTTCATGCAAAAATGTATGATTATATGTGCATCGTGGGAAAAAAAAAGCTAAGCACAACATTTTTGTTATATAACTTGTCTTTTTTTCAGACAAGACATGCTTTATGTTCTCATGATTTGCTTTTTTGTACATATATAGGAAAAATTAACACGCACGAATTCACATATGTACAGCTTACCAAGGCCTCCTCTTAAGAGTGCACTCATCTTTACCTTTCGGATGTTTCTTATTGTTTCTGTACCTGGATACAGTACTTCCGTATCACTTAGCTTGGATTGAGGGGGCATGGGTGTTAAGTTCAAATTTAGTGTATGTTAGGTAGACTTGCATTTTGAACACCTTGTAGAGCATCAGCTGTTGTTTCTATCCAATGAATTGGATCTTTTGCTGAGTCCAGACATGCGTTTGATCACTGACACAACTAATGTAGCTACTGAATTTGGTAGTGTACGGGTAGGATCTACTGGAATTTTTGGGCAAGACACTCCGCCTTCAGCAAAGGGTGGATCTCACATAAAGCAAAACATTTTTCGTTTTCTCTTCTATTCTGCCTTGTATGCCTGTGCGAACATTATTCCCGTTTGCTTGGGTCTTACGTACTAAAAAATATCCGTTGATCTCAGGTTGCTCAACATTTATGTGTATCTCATAATGGCCTACGACGCGACCGTCGGCGTGAAGCATGGCAGACTCGAGTGGCTTGGGGTCTATAGAATGCTGCGGAGGAAGGGTGGCCTGATGAAGGTGCTGAAGCATACCTTTCTTGATATTTTGGGAGGGAACAAGAAGCCAGTCTCGATAAAAAGAAGGCACAGAAAGGGCCAGTAAGGGGGGATGCAAATAGGGTTCTCACTTGTGTCAGCTGGTGGCAATTAGTAGTAGAATCACTTACCATATCTAGGCAAGGTTAAGCTGGTTGGCTCAATGGGTTCTTCACACCGTACCGTATGCTTGTGGTGTGGCTTCGCACTGAAGAAGATAGCCTGTTCTGCGCTTGGATGGAACGCTGGAGTTACCTTTTGTTGATACGGTTTCAGCGAAGTCGGTGAACTGAATCGTGTTTATATCGAATGTTTTTTTGCTGAAGATGGTGTGTTCTTCTTTGGTTGTAGCAGAAAAGTCTCAAGGTTAAGTGCGAACAGTTGACAGTGAAGTGATGGGTTAAGATGGGTCTTTGGCTGTAGCAGAAAAGTCTGAAGGTTAAGTGCAAAAAGAGTTAAGATGGGCCTAAACTAGAAAATGTGCCAGGATTATCAAAGGACTTCCCAATCATCATCCGGGCGCTCTTTTATTTATTTATTATTATTGATCAAGTCCACACTTTTGACATCCATCATACTGCATACACGACGCCGACGGACTCACACGGCGATGCTGTTGGGAATCCCGCCGACGTGGGGTACCGTAGGGTCGGCCCTCGGCGCGAGCAGCGTGTAGGGCACCTCCACGGGCCCGTTCCGGTTCCGCAGCGCGCCGTCAGCGTTCCTCTTCTTGACGGCCTCCGCGATCGCGTCCAGCTTCGAGTTGAACTCGAGCAGCGCCTTGGCCGCCCGCTGCTCGCTCGTCCACTGCTCCGTGTCTGGCCGCTCCCCCATGAGCGGCTCTCCGGGCTTCACCGGCGGGTTCATGGTGAGCGCCATGAGGCCGAACGTCTCGGTCTTTGGGGTGATGCTGCCGAGGAACTCGGCCTCGGTCACCGCCGCTTTGGCGTCGGCCGGCATCTCTCCGGAGGTGATGGTGGGGCGGTTGGGGACGAAGCCGTTGTACGCGTACTGCCCGAAGCTGACGGCCGAGTGGTAAGCCGATCCGAGCCAGATGATGGTGGAGCAGGTCTCCACGAGGTCGTCGACGGAGTCCATCGCCGGCCACCACGGCGCGTCGCGCAGGTCGCCGTGGCCCACGTTTCGCACCTCGCTCCACCACGCCTGCAGCTCGCTGTCGCCCGCGACGGCGCCGTCGCCGTCGGCGTAGTATATCGCGCAGTAGTCCGTGACCCATTCCTTGATGGCGGTCCAGATCTCCAGCCCGTCCACCGCGTACGGGTAGTCCTTTATCAGCAGCTCCAGCTCCTCAGCCTTCTTCGGATCGCCTCTCGCCACGCCTCTGCGTACATAAAAATGCATCAAGTATTTCAGATTCTAAAGCTGTGCGTTGTGGGATTAACTTTATCAGCATTTTAGTCGGTAGGTACGTCTTGATGTGTTCGTTGGGGAAAAGGAGGTCGGTGACCCATTTCCAGATCGCCGTCAAGATGTTAAGCTCGTCCTTTCTCGGCTGCTCCACCTCCTCATTCTTCTTCGGAGCTCTTCTCACCATTCCACAGCGTAATACGTACAAACAATAATGCTAGACCTACAAAGACTCTACAACGTTTACTTAACTTTCCGAACTAATAACTCTCCCCACTTAATCCAACTGGGTTTGTCTCCTTCATCCCCTTTTTACCAATCATAATCTTCCACGTCAGTTTGTATGTAAAAAATTGAAATAACCTTTTGTAGATGTAGCATCACTCATGTACAAATGCATCAATTAGTCATTCCAAATTCTGAAGCAGCAGCAGGTGTGCCATTTGATTGTAGAATTTACTTACTACTTAGGTCAATTGCATTTTACTCACCGCTTGATGAGTTCGTTGGGGAAAGCGAGCTCGGTGAAGTTATATGAAGCGTATGCCTTGGAAGACATCTCCATGCCGTACTTGCCGGTGAAGAAGTTGACCTCGTGCATGTTGCGGTAAAAGGCACCGCCCTGTCGCTCGTCGCCGGAGCCGATGACAATGTGTCGCGCCGTGGAATTTGTGTCCAAGGTATTGCGGAAGTGCGGCTTGAGGAGCTTGTGGATTGGGTGCAGCACGCTCATCTGCCGGTTCGCCGCCAGCACCACCGGCTCCATCGTCGCGTGCGTCCTCAGCCTGCATACATCCACCACACATGAACCAGTCGACACGACATGCGTATTAACTATTCTTACTCTTCCCCGCAAAAAAAACTATTTTTACTCCATTCATTATTATTAAGATGTTTTAACTTTTTTTTCCGAATCAAATGTACTCGCTTTAATGTGTTTGTTTATTCATTTCAATCCATATATATAGTTCAAAGAAATATCCAAAACATCTTAAATAATGAACTCCCTAAGATTGGTGGCTTAAGGCGGTTAGTGGGGGAGGTGACCACAGGAAGGCCACCGCCTCCTTGATGATGCTTGTCTCCGCTCCGACCTCTATTGTTATCGCGAAAATCAAGGAGGAGGCCCATCTTTGGACTTTGGCAGGAGCGAAGCAGCTTAGTATTGTTATGTCGCAAGAGTAGACCTTTTCGTTTTTGCCGCCTTGCGCCTTATGTCTAAACCTTCTTGTTAATCAATGAAAATGGCAAGTCTTTTGCCTTGTTTCAAAAAATAAAAATAAAAATAATAATAATGAACCGAGGGAGTACATTCTACGGTTCTCATCATCACAGTAATTTAACGTTGCAAGGTAGTGTACGTACCAGTGGAGGACATAGTTGTTCTTGCATGCGTCGTTGGATGCGGCATGGGCCTTGGCGAGGTCCCATGCCGTGAAGGTGTCGGAGGCGGCATCGCCGGCTTTGAGTTCGTCGGGCGGAGTGTACACCGTGCTGGTGCCGCCGAGGCGCTCATCCTTGGGGTGCGGCGAGCTAAGCTCGATCGCCAGCGGCTTGAGTGTGGAGTCGTCTTGCAAGAAGAAGAGCGTCCTCGTGGCGTACGACTTCCTCTGGGAGATCTCGCCCTTCTCCTCGTCACCTGGCAGCTCGTTGATGCGCTTCAGGTACGGCATCACCCAATCATGGTGATCCACAACATACAACCTGTCCTTTTCTATAGCCTGCACAATTCATGCAATGGTTTGAGGGGCACACTTACATTTTTGTATTCGAAGAAGATAGTAACGGTTTTGCTATTTCTTCTCCGTTAAGAAGTTCTTGCTCATAATTTGAATGATTTCACGGTTGCTATTGGTATTGGACCATATTAGGAACATATTTTATCCAAACTTTTACTCCCTCTGTCCCAAAATTCTTGTCTTAGATTTGTCTAGATGCGGATGTATCTAATACTAAAACGTGACTTGATTCATCCGTATTTAGACAAATCTAAGACAAGAAATTTGGGACGGAGGGAGTACTTTCTTATGTTGCTTTTTTCCTGTGAACATGTGTGTGTGTGTGTGTGTGTGTGTGTGTGTGTGTGTGTGTAATATGAACATATAGGAGTATTTCTTTTATAAACTTGGTCAGATTTTATAGTGTTTGACTTTGAAGAAATTTTACATGCGTTGTAATTTGACAAGGAAGAAATATATAGTACGTACCTGCGCCACAGTCATGTTTCCCAAGTTCTTCTCAATGTGCTCTTTGGTTATCTTGCTGTCTTGGTCACCATACACAGCCCGGTCAAGCTTGCTCGTGAGTGGGAGACCGGTGACGAGCTCGATGGACAGAGGGTTTGCCCCAGCGAGTGTTTGCCTGGCGAACTCTTCATCCGTCCGCCAAGCTGTTCGATTCGCTATATATGTACACCAAAAATAGGTTTGATGAGTTCAACTTCCGTGGAATCACGCATACATACGTACGTACTTTATAATACACCTGGGCATGGGTGGCCTGGCCGGACAGGTCCGTCCAAGCTGGCTCGGGGCTAATTTTTTGATAAAAAGCCTGGTGAAACATTTTCTTAGGATATTACAAGAAAAATATGTATAATACAGCAGTATTTTGTCTTGAAAATGGGCAATATTATATCATTTGAAAATGAGCAAGTACCCATTTTCGTACCGCGGTCTGGGCCAAGCTGGACCCAGGCTTGGAATTTCAAGTTCAGGCTTTGCAAAGCCCGGCCCAAAGCCTGATAAGTTGTGTCATAGTTTCAAATAGCAGGCTATGCATCTTAGCGGCGGACCTCTTTTAAACGCTATAGTGTGTATAGCTGCTATCGAAAATGTTTGTTCATGTGTTTGGACCGAAGCCCTTTTAACTCAAGACCTCCTTCAATGCTACAGTGTGCTATAGAGAGAAGAAAAGAGCATGGTGAGACAATTGTGGTACCTGAGATGACCTGGGGGACGGGGAACGGGAAGGGCTTGGCGTTGCTGTCGAAAAGGCCGTGGACATCCGCCAACGACCCGAAGTGGCCGTCGAGTTTGGGAAGGTTGGGCGCCGCGGCCACGCCGCCGGTCCGCTCGTCGCACGGGATGTAGATCCCTTCCTCCAGTGACGCCCTGGTCTCGCTCGAGGGATCTACCTTGCTCGGAGGCCGGCTGGTCCTGGTCCGGCGAGGGTACGGGTACTCTTTGGACCCTCCCAGCACCGGGCGCGCCAGGTCCTCGCGCAGGTCGGGGTTCCCCAGGTCGTTGTAGAGCGCGTAGTCGTACACGCGGTCCCATTTCTGCAGCGGCTTGCCGGCCGGCGCGCCCTCGCCCCGGAGCAGGCGGAGCTCGTCTTCCCTGTCCTTGAGCAGCGCCGGCGGCGTCTTCTCCTTCACGTACGCCTGCACCAAAATAACCAAACGTACGTTGTAGCTTATATATCCAAGTTCTGCAAGAAAACAGTTCATGCCATCTATGTGTTGTGTAGTGCACGCACGTCGTTGGTGAAGAAGAGGCGGTATGGGTGCTTCCCGACGGGATAGACCCACCCGTTGCAGACGAAGTGGACGGCCGGCGAGCTCAGGCTCAGCAGCTGCAGGTACACGGGGAAGTCGGAGTTGTTTGTCACCAGCACTGCGCCGGGCGCGCCCAGGGCCTCGTCCCACAGCAGCTCCACGTCGAGCTCTGTCTCCCCGCTCGATATGACGGCGTCCAGCGCCGCCGCCTCCCCTCTCACGCCGCGGCCATCACTCCCTGTACGTATGTTTGTTAGATAGAGGGACTCACGGTGGTTTAACGTGCGGCTGAACATCTGGTTAAGCTACAAATGTATGTGTATGTATGTACCGGGGACGGTGGCGCTGACGAGCTGGAGGGACAGCCTGAGCGGGCTGTTGGGCGAGTCGGAGCTCTACAGCAGCAGCTTGCCTTGGACACGAGCGCTAGTGGCGGTGGACGTGGTCTGTACGTCGGAGCCGGCCACTGCACGCGTGGCCGTGGTGGCGCCATGGCTTGGGCTGGTGCTCGGGTGCAAGATTTTGAGCTGCGAGCGAGCCGCTGAAGGCACGAGCGTTGGACGTTGTCCATCCCGGCGCTCCAGTGCCCCGGCAGGACGGAGCATCGTCGCGGTCCATCCCGGCGCCCGAGTGCCCGTCACAGACGGAGCATACGGGCCGCGGGCACACGGGCGTGAGCTGTGACGGATCTGCATCTGCATCGAGCCGTTCAGTTCAGGCGAGACCTGACAGTGTGCTTGGTGTTGTTGGGTGGGTGGCAGTGTGACTCGGGAGACGCACACATATATATAGTCGGCAGAATAAAAAAAATAACATAGTCGGCAGAATAATTGGACGGACGCTGGCGCTGTAAATGTTAGGCTAGGGGATGAGTGAGTCCACGTTACACCATAGCTTCAAGATTCGTGCAGAATGCAACACCTAGAACTTCCCATTTTGTTGACGCAGCTGTTATGATCCCGAGCCCATGTGAACCCGGGTGAACAGTAAAATCAAAACAATATTCAAAAAATTCTGAAATTCTTTCGTGCCAAAAAATTGTCAAATGTTTTGATTGCTTGCAAATTTCATCACCAGATGACATACATGGAAAATGTGGCAAAAAAAGAATCAATGCTCCAAAATTGTCAATGTTTGGCACACAAAAAAACAAGTTTGTCCCTTTTTTCACTTTACTGTTCACCCGAACTCACATGAGCTTGGGATCACAACAACACTTATGCATTGGATAGAAAAACAAATACTGAAGAAGGTGGTCGGTCCCCCCCAAGGCTTGACATTTTTCTCACGTTGTCTCTCTCTTGCGTGCGTGCTCAGAAAAAGTCTCCCCCCCCCCCTCAAATTGTGAAATATTTTTTTTTAAAAAACGATCTCTTTATTGAGCACTAGGGCTGGACCAAAAGCTCGTAGTTCGTGAGCTTAATGAGCACTCGACAACTCGGCTCAATAAGCTCGTAGCTCGGTTCTTAATGAACAGAGCCAATCCCTGGTTTCATCTCGTTAAGCTTAGAGATCTTAAATTGCGAGCTAACGAGTTTCATGAGTAGCTCGTTAAGCTCGTTAATACATCACAACGTATAATCTTATCCTATGTGACAACATTTTTTAGCACATCTACCGATCTATTCAAACCAGTTAACCCAACCTAGCCGATAGGTGGCAAAAAAGTAGTGCACTTCCTCTTGCCATCAGCATCTTTCTTCGTAAAAACCCCGCCTAGACTCTCATCCTGTAGACCGCAACACATCACAGTTTGTTTACGAGCACTTGTAAGCACCCACGAGCTTAACGAGATGTAAGCAAACAGAGTCAAGCAGGGTTTTCTGCCCGTTAAGATTAATGTTCTTTAACGAGCACAAGCTTAACGAGCCGAGCCTTAATGAGCCGAGCAGCTCGTTAATCCATGCCTACCGAGCACTGAATTTGGATTCAATAACCACCAACTGATTTGCATATACTGATGCCAATTCTCACAATCTAATTAATTAATGAATATGACAAGTCTTTTGCCAAAAAAAATTCAAAAATAATATATGCCAATTTATACATAAATGATGCGAAGAAATGGGTGAAGAACACTTTGTCCATCTCTTTTCCTTTTTTTCCAACAAGAGAACATGTCGATCCTTGTACAAGGGAGATTATAAACGCGAGGTATATAGTTGATATTGATATATTGTTTTTAAAACTTAAATAGAAAAAGGTACCTGGGGTGATACATTAATCATAAAAGAATTATAGATCACTAGGCTCACAGGCCCCATCGTTGGCTGAGATTGCAAAGTGTTTCTCGTTAATTAAGATGTTCTATTTTACGGTCCTTTTAGACTGCTAGGTTTAGGGTGACTAAATAGAAAGTTGGCGCCATGTCATGGCGTTAATGCCCCTCCTCGTGCTCTAGCGCAAACCTGTAACCTGTGGCCCTTTGGGTAATGCATCTAGGTGGGGATGCTCTCCCCCTGTTGATTGTTCAAAAATATTAACTAGCATAGTGACCCACTTAATTGTGTGGCTAGATTTCTTACCGTTTTCATATTTGCATTGGTATTTGTTCATTGTAGCATTTATATCTATGAATTAAATTTTCATCGATTTGATCTATGCAGTTCTTAAAGATTTACATGGCTTAATATCGACCTTACATTAGTATAAATTATAACTTAGATTTGCTACTGATTTTTATAAATTGTATTAGTTTGTGTTCATTCTAGCACTTCTATGCACATGTTAAACCCACATAATCTTCAATGATTCATTTCCTAGATTTAATCTAGAGATCTCTTTAATCTACATTGTTTCTAGATTTCCTAAGATGTTATATTAACCATACAATTACATATCACTAGTCTAGTGGCCCTATCGTTGGCTCAAATTACAAAGTATTTATCAGTGAATTAAGATCTATTTTACAATCTTTTTGGACCCTACATAAAAATAAGAGCAAGTATGTATTTAATTTTCTTTTCAACAAACCCAATACTGGTTAGTTACTATCAAAAAGTTTCCAATCTTTCCAAATTCCCAGGAAGATAACAGAATGACTTCAGTAAACAGTGGCATGAATGATACTTATTGTTTGTGAGGTAACAACTAGTGATCATAGTCTAAATGCTAGCTAGCATAATGACCCATTTAATTGTATAGTTCGATTTGATGTACATAGTTATTTATTATTTACATGGTTTAATCTTCATTGTACTTACAATTTAAAACATAGATTTGCTTACAACATTGAACCACGCTTGAGTTTGTACATATATGACCATCTTTACTTACTACATATGCGCAACTTACATTGAACTGCTCTTGACTTTGCACGTAATTAATGACAAATTTAGGCACCTATGAAAAACATGAAGTAACTTCTTAGGATTGGCTAGTGCTTTGTTTAGTGAGGCTCGGGGTGAGAAGGGGGGAATTAAAGTAATTGGATATGGTCGTAGCACTAGTAGAAAAACGACCTTACGTTCACCTCATTAGTCTCGGTTCAATTACGTCCCGGTACTAATGGTACCATTAGTCCCTGTTCCAACGGCTATGCATTAGTCCCGGTTCATTTGTGACCTATAGTCCCAATTTGTGTCACAAACCGGGACTAAAGGGGTCACTACTAGAGAAAAGCTTACCAGTAGCGCTTGTTTTTGTGCTACCAGTAGCGCGGGTACCAGGGCTACTGGTAAGTTCAACTACTAGTAGCGCGTTTTTAGGCCAGCGCTACTGCTAACATTTATGTTTTTTTAATATTTTGGCGTTGTACATGTTTAAACAGATATATCTTTTATACAATAACAACTCATGATGAACTAGTCTGTTTAAATAGCATATTCATTACCAGTAGTCATCACCACCAAACAATGTTCGTCAATGAGACATCATATATATAACAATGCTCGTCAATGACACATTATAGCACATAATAACATATTCTACCTAGGACCTACTCCTCTCATAGGACCTACTCTACCCTCTCTTAGGTAAAATATCATAAAACAAGATAGGCATTGACTCTTCATTAAGGAAACTGAACTCTCCATAATGAAGAACGGAGATCATCCTGTCTCCAAGTCTTGGCCTACGCACAATGTTGCTTCCAAGTAGCTCTCTATGATGGTTGAAACATTTTTTCCAATCATTTATTATCATGGCTTCCTCGCTTTTAGAAATCCGGTATGGACAGGAGTGATGTGGATACTGTGGCTGATCTGGCCGTGGTGGCCATAAGCTCATAACTTCAACGCGACCTCTTGGCAACATCAGATGAGGCACACAATCCATCGGGATTTTCTGTTCAAAAACATAGTAATAACTTTGTAGTTAGCAATGTTCAAAGATGCACGGATGTCGTAATAGTAGAAAATTTTACCATGATATCTCCATTGATGTTACCGTAGCACACCGCGTGCACTAGTGGCACATATGGACCATAATTTTGAGGAATTCGATAATAGCTATTGTAATTCTCAAGATCGGTAAAAAATGTGATAAGACCATCTTTCTCCGTATAAGTTAATTGTGCTTCATCATTGTAGTAGTAGGTTTTGTCTACCATCTTCCATACATTTTTTGAAGAATGAAAATAAGCTGTCAATGGGAATAAGCTGTCAAATATTTTGAAATAAATAATATAAATTACTTAGTAAATATGTTTAAGAAACTCACACAACGGTAGAACTGGAAGCGTGTCAACAAGGACCCAAATGGTCATATCATTTTTGTCAATGTCAAGATCACCAAGATCGAAGGTGAGAAGCATACCCTCATGAAAATCATACGCCTTGGAAAGGGCTTCCCAATTCGGGCAACCAAAATTGGATGAGTTCACAGAATTGTATAGTTTTACAGCAAAATCATAACCATGATGGGTCCTTAGTTGAATTATCTTTGTCTCCGTGCTTTCATGATCTTCAAAACCCATCTTCTCCAAGACATAGCGTCTTGCATGGCATGGGATAAACTAGTCGAATTGTAAAAGACGGAAATTACACGTTGAAGAAGCAGAGAAGTCGTGCAAAAATAACAAAAACACTTGTCATAGTTGCGTACCATATCAACATCGAAGGTCTCTTGGAGCTTGATGCTGAAGCGCCGACCTTCTACCAGGTGAGGCCTGTCGCACATACCGCGCTTATCTTCACAGTAATCGCACATAGCAAATTCCCTTTCGTCGCCAGACATTTCCTAATAGGTAATTAATAATCCATCATGAATACATATGTAGTAGTTTGTAGCACAAACCGCACTCATCTTTTGCATTCAATAAGCAAATAACTAATAGGTAATTAATAATCCATCATCGAATACATATATAGTAGTTTGTAGCAAAGATCATCATATAATATCACTAATACATCTCGAATAATAGCTCCTCTAGGTTCAGTGGGCCGCGGTGGACACCCAAAGAGAAGGAACCATCACCGGATCATAGCTCCGGTGAGATCCCCAAATAATCTGCCAGGTATTGGAGAACCAGCCCTTCGCCAACGCAACCAAGTAGCGCTGGACGTGCGCGTTCTCCTCCGTGACACGGTGTTGAACCACCTGCGCGGGGGACTGAAGCCTCTCTACCGATGC